CTCTGCATAGTTTTATCTCAACTGCTGCCTGTGGGTTGGATTTATGTTTCTGATGACTGATAGTTGTAATTGATATTAGTTTTCTGATGTAGCACTTACATTTTCTGGGGCTTGTCTTGATAGATGAAATCTATGGAAACAGCTTGATTTCCACTGTGATTGACAGCTGCAACTGCTCGGACTCCAGCGATATCGAACTGAGCGATGACTGGGCAGCAAAGAAATCTCCCAAAATCAGTCGAGCTAGCAAATCTCCCAAACTTCCCAGGTAATCATTTCTTGGATATTTCTTCCTCTTTTTCCCCAGGTTTTCTTCCTTTCTTTTTTCTTTTCTTTTCCTTTTTTTTTTTCAAAGACCATCTTGACACCTCGTAACATTAACAGCATACTCCTTTGGGCAGGTAGGGGTCTTCTGGAGGAGTGGGGTCCACTATAGTGTGCAGTTCTGGGGTGATCTCAGAGATTGGTGTTGAGGTGGACTTTGGGGAAGGTTTTGGGCCAAAAGGTAAGGGAAACAATAGGGCACCACTTCTCCCCTAGCAATCTCAAAGAAAGATTTTGTAAACTCTCCCACCACTGCCTCTGCCACATGTGAACTCTTGCCACCATGGAATATATTTCATCCTTCAGACAATCCGTGTTTTTACCTCCTCTGTGCTTAGGGTCCCTGGTCCAGTTAAAGCCTTATTTCCTCAGGGGTATTTTCAAATTCTGAAGTCCATGGCGTAGATCCTGGCATAGGTGGCACTGCTGCTGTGGTGACCTTGCAAGGGAGCCTCAACAAGCACATTGTCTTAAATGCCGGGTTGACAAGGTTCTGTAATGATGCACAAAACAAGCTTCTAAGCTATTAGTTTGTCTCACTGCTTTCCTGTAAGGTCTTCATTATATTCATTATGTGCACAGACAGAACCCTCCATCTGCACAGAGCTTCACTGGGCATCTCTCTGCTAGCTTCACGTTATGGGATTGAGGCCCTGATGCCTTCTAGCTGCAGCTGACACTTTTCCAAAGACTTTATATTATGAGCTTGTCCTATTATGAGGCAAAGGAAACGCATCCCTCTATATGGGAATATAATGTGTGAAATACCTGGGTTTTAGTTTATTAGTACTTGACAAAAGAACCATCAGTTTCTGAGCCTAAAACCAAAATGGCTCAGGAAAAAAACCCGAACTTATCTTTCTGCCTTGGTTTTCTAAGAGCTTACTTTTGAAATGTAGCTTTTGTTCATTATTTTTTCCACCAGTGAGCTTTTTCAGGTGCTTGATCATGACCCCCTTTGTATAATGGGAGGTAGGAGTAAATTTTGGCTTAGAGCAAGAGGACTGACAAAGTTTGTGGCACCTTGGTTTGCTGTACTGGCATGGAGATCTGCCAGCCGTGGTGTTGTATTTCCATTTCTTGAGGCTTTGCTCAACCTCCGCATAGCTGAAATAGCTCAGCACTACACCTTTATATGGATTAGTGGAAGATATATTATAACTGGTAGAACTGTTGTGAGCTTTGTTAAATGAATCAGAAGTCATCTGGTCTGAGTTACTGCAAGAGTGTCAGGCCTTATATATCTTTAAATTTGATCCATAACTCTCCATCCTGTAGACTCTACAGTCTTCATTAGTCACTTAGACAACACCATACCAGTTGTCTTCATTACATCTTTACATTCAAAGGCATGAATTCTGTGCGTTTTTGCATGCCCATTGATAATTCTAATTATTGCTTTATCTGCAGAATCAATATAGAAGCTCGCAAATCTCCCAAGATGTCACGAGCTGCGCAGGAGATATCAAGATCGCCAAGGTTACCAATAAGGAAACCTTCTATTGGTTCACCAAGCCTAACACGAAGAGAGTTTCCTTTAGAAGATATTACTCAGGTATTGTGCACGTTGTGACAAGACCTGAGTCCAAATGCATCTCCTTCCAGAGGCAGCAAGTTGTGATATAGATTCAATGATCACCAATAAAAAAATTTTCATTTAATTACAGTTACGAGGTGGAACAACTAGAGAATTGCATCTTCCAAGTCAGTGTTAATCCTGGCACCACTAACTTCTGTCAGTGTGAATCCATGTGAGAGGTTTCGTTCTAGCTGATATTGTTGGCTTTTTGAAAGCATATGTGAAAATGTTTCTTATTCAGTTTCTCAGAGCTGTCCTAATGCCACCATAGTTCTCTGCTTCGTTAGGAGTCTGCAGAGACAAGGAAATGCTTGCTTCAGAGGGCCACATGTTCTCTATTTCGTAATTATGTGGAACAGCCTTAATTGGAAGGAAGGCAAGGAATTAGCACTTTTTGCTATTTGTGGTGTTCACGTCCTGCAGGTAAATGAAACTTAGCAGGCTGTAGAACTGTCTGGTTTACATACTTTATTATACCAACCTGCATTCTTCTAATTTTGTTTTGTTTCAGTTGTTTTTTTCTGCTCTGTCATTTCACTTTTTCCTTTATAGTGAAACTTTCTAGATGAGTTACATAGCAGCAGTAGATAGGACCAAAAGCCCTTTCAATAGGGCAGGAGATCAAGAGGCTGAGATCCTGCTTCTGATACTGACAGCATAACTCCTGGCCTTTGAGAAAATCTTTTGATCTTTCAGACCCATAATTTGATCACCATGGAAGCAGTGGTTTGGGAAGCTGCTTTGGAAGCTCCAGGAAAAATACGTTTCTCATTATGAGTAATTAATTTCTGTCTTATTTATTGTTCCATAAAGTGATTCTTAAGTATAGAACCAAAGGGCAGGGTGTATTACTTTCTGAAATACAGAATCACTGCGCTCTTATGCAGGAGAAGCAAGTGTCCGAAAACAGACCTATTCTCACTAAGCAGCCATTATGTTTTTCCGTTTTTCAACAGGTTTAATCAGCCTGTGTGGCTGTTGTATACATCATTTCTGATGGTATTCAGATATCAAAATGAGACTGCTTAATGACTGGGTATAACAGGTGCTACATAGGCACATTAGGCTGTTTCAATAAAATAAAAACAAGAGAAGCTGAAACTGTATTATCACTTGCAATAGCCTGATTGCTCTGCAGGTTTTTATTAAAGCTTGATACAGATTTTATTAGGTGAAAATTATCTTGTTTTTGCTTTGCAGCACAACTACCTTGCTCAGGTCACATCTAATATCTGGGGAACCAAATTTAAAATTGTGGGTTTGGCTGCTTTCCTACCAACTAACCTTGGTGCAGGTAAAAGTAAACTCTATTGATTTTTTTCATCTCAAACTCTTTCTAACAAAAAACAAACTTATGCCATGTGATTCTTTTTACATGATCAAAAGGCTTCTATAACAAAGCATTTCTTTTCTGTGGACAGTAGGAATTAGATTTTACAAAATTCACTGTAACTAAAAGAGATTAAAATCTATAAATACAATAATGAGATGATCAATAAAATGTTAAATCTCCATTGTAATAAAAAGATTAATTAACAGTTAAGCCCAGACCTTTATTTTTACAGATTTTTTTAGCAAAACCCAAACAAATAAAAGTTTTGCAAGACTATAAAAATCATAGGTTTTAAGTTACTGTAATAGAAATATTTTTAGAACTCCAATTTTTATAGTCATTTAGCTACCAATTATACCAAAATAATGTTAAAAAAGCTCTTACAGCATCATGCTCAAGATTCTTCGAGTCAGTGCATAGCCTTATCATATGGTTCTCTTGCTGCTGCATCAGTAAATTGGTCACTTTCATTAAAAGTCGCAGTCTTTTGACCTTTTTCTGGGCACACCAATTCTCCCTAGGTAGTCCTGTTGAAAGGAAGAAGGCTAAGAACAGGGTACCACCTAGCAGAACTGAGCTCTGAATTGAAATATTAACGCAAGTATAGGAGTTTTACAAGCTCTTTGGAAAACTTATGGTTTCCTATGTTCCGTTATGTAGTTAAGTCAGAACTACATAATGATACTCTGGATGGAAAATTAGTTAAATGGATATCTTTTGTGACTATATTGACTGTCAGACAAGAGATGGAGTTCCAGCTACTGGGGACAGGACCTTCTCTGGCCCAGCCTCCAGGCAAAAGTTGTTCTCTCAGGATGTTGTAACCCTGGGGACAACCAGTGCTATTACTATAGGGCAGTGGCGCCTTCTACTTAGTAAAGTGTTGTGGAAACCCTCAGGTTTGTTCCAGCCACCTTTTTCCTTCAAGTAATTTATGACTTTCTGACATCCGTATTTGCAATGATTGTCAAAACATAGTGCAGGAATGACCCCTTTGGGTCAGGCCAGAAGTCATTCTAATTCTCTCGTTATCAGTGACAGATACTTAGGGAAGGGTATAAGTGTAGTGGTACTTCTTGCAAATGTTCTCCCAGTCTCCAGTGGCTCGGGTCCCAGGGCCTTCCTGAGCCAGAAGCGGTTTCTTTGTATGTAGTAACCCTCAACAGATTTCCTTCCTGAGAGCTTTCCAGTTTTCCCCTAAACTTATATAAGTCGGTAGCATCCTGTGGTGAAGAGTTCCAAAAGTAGAATGGAAAAAATATTTTCCTTCTGTAAAAATAGATGTGAATACAAGATGAAGTAATTCATTATTTCTACAGATTATTTAACTACAGAGATGCTGCTTCTATTTAAAGAGAAATAGTGGAAAGTGGCAATCTCTTTTATCGTGTTTATGCAGTGTTACATAGTGATTTGGCTAAGAATGGCCCTTACATGCACTTGATCGTTAATACCTTACATAAGAATAGACATAGCCCTTCTGTCTGCTTTGAATTGATTCTTTCTTAGCTTTAGATGCTCTTTGTGTAACAGGTTTTCTTTTATATTTCTTGTTACACTCTCTCTCCAGTAATATATAAAACCAGTTTGCTGCATCTGCAGCCCAGGCAGATGACAATATATCTCCCAGAAGTGCGGAAGATTTCAATGGACTACATTAACCTACCTGTCTTTAACCCAAATGTTTTCAGCGAAGATGAAGATGATTTACCAGGTAAGGAGGAGCCGGAGGTCTGCCATATTACGGGTTAAGGTGGATGGAGGACAGATCACTTGTGTCACTAGCCCTCTCTGTTAAACGCACAAATCAAAATCCCTTAGTCTGATGGGGTCCTGTAGAACTGAATTAGAATAAGGCTAATATGTATTACAGACATTGTCTTCTAAAATATGCGGAAAATGTAATCCGTATAGAGCTGCTGTGTTTCAAGTTCATTGGAAAATTAATCATCTTCTGTTTAATTCGCTAAGAATTCTCCGTAGACCAAAGCCTTGTGTTCTGCATCTTTGTAGGACAGAATTGTAATGGGTTGGAAACCCAAAAGGGTCATTCTTGTGACCTGATGGCAGCAAAGCACAGCATGCTGGTAGGAGCGCAGGTTGGAGCGCAGGTTCCTGTAAAAATTAGCCACTCTATGAGAAGTGATAAATGCCCATTTGGATTTTTATCAATACTAAATCTTGCAGAGAGGCTAAAATAGTAAAGTAGTTTATAAACAAGGGGGATCAGGAAAAATTTCTCATTTCACTCAGATGTAAGGTAGCAGGAGATTCAAGCAGCGCAGGGAAGGCTTGGGTGCAGGTGATGTGAATGTGGCAGGTAAAAGGACTAGAAGTACTCAGAACCTCCTCCAATAAAAAAACCCCCACCATCCTAATGATAAAAATAACAAGTAAAAGACAAGAAGATAAATGAATACATTTTCAGAATTTTGACATCAGTGAGGGATTCCTGTTGCCAGGTCACGGGTTTTTTGGTACCATAGGAGTGGCCGTCGCACCCAGTACCCTTTAGAGAGGAAGGAATGCGAGCACAGCAAAGCAATTAAAGGCTTATGCTACAGTCTATTGAAATAAGTGGAAATACTCCCATTATTTCAGACCAAGGTTTTGACTGCTGAAAGCACCAAAGCTTGTGTCTGACCCAAGCACCAGAGTAGTCCTCTAGACTTCTCAAGAAATAGTCGTGTGCTTAAAATGAAGCCCGGTCTTTCACACTTTGGGGCTTGGCTTGCCTAATTTACGTCTGCATGATATTCACCTGTAGGATCTGAAGAAAATAACAGAGACGTTGGTGATTGTATATATATTATGCATAGGAAGCACTCAACATTTTCTATTATGAAACATGGTCCAAGCTGACAGAAAGTAATACAAAAATTAAATAGAAAACAACAGTTAATAAACAGTTAATATAAAGTTTTCACATTTCTTCCTGGAAATTTGATTAGATCTGCAATATCAATTCCTTTTATATTATTAAAAGAGCTGAAATGGTACTCAGAATTGCAGGTTGGTGAGCACCATATAAATATAGGGAAAATTGTTACAGTTTTGTTACAGCTCTTTGAGAAGGCTAGTAAAAGAATCGTACTACTCTGTACTCCATAACATCTGCCTTCTTGTCCACTTTTTCTTTCTGTTTTTTTTTTTTTTTTCTGAAAATTCATTTCTGGCTTAGCAGATGGAGGCTACTTAAGCCTTCAAAAACATTTTTGGGGATGTCCTTTCTTAAAGCCTGCATATAAAAGAAAAAAGTGCCATATACTAGTGGGAAAAAATATTACAGTGTAAATAATGATTACATGATAGATTAAAAAAAACATAGTAGAAAGCTACTCTTGGGCAGTGGAATGTTCATAGTGAGGTACTCTTGGGACAGGTGCTTTTTAATGTAGTCAGTAAAGATTTGGCAAGGCAAATGGACAGTGAATTGATTTAACTTGCAAATTATGCAAACAAATCAATTAACTGCCATTGGAGAAATAAAAAAAAAACCCCAAAACATTTGATTTAAACACTTTGGGATATTAAGCAACACTGTGACGAATGAGATTTTGTCTGATAAGGCACTTAATACCCATGACAGCAACGTTTTAGGTTGCTCAAGCCAAACTAACAATTAAACCTCAAGCTCTGGCAGATAAATGGCTAACCTGCAGGCATCAGGATGAAAGCATGGCCAGTCAAGCACAGAACCACACTGCCTTAGGGTCAGTTAAGTTTAGCTGTCGGTCTTCTTCTAAAGGAACTGTAAAAATTTGCCAGCATAGCCACAGACCTCTGTATACCTACCACATTCATGATGGATGCTGATAAAAGCCTAATGCTATTGAAAATGTAATTATAGGGCATAGGTAGATCAGTAGAATTTTAATTAGAAATTAATTAGGAACTGGGCAGTGGCTGGAGGAGTCATGACTAATGGATCTCTTGCCTGATCTGGTCTTGCAAATCAGAGGTCTCTACAGAATTTGGTGCACTTAAATGATCCTGGATATGACTCTAGGATCCTGGATATTATTCTAGTCTCTTTTCCTCCCATAAACCTGCTGATGCAACTCACTTATCATTTTCTGTGGGTTTTATACTTGAAAACTAATAAAGAACTTGCAAGATTCTTGGGCATTTTAATATAGTATTTACTGTTTCCCCTCATTATTATGTTTTTTTCCTTCTTATCTTGACTTCTGCACCTGTACTTGGTTCCAGTGTCCTCATTTCCCTGCCATCCTCCAGCTTTTCAGTGGTGGTTCCTGTTGGAATCACTCTCACCACTTTTTGCAAAACGAATTGCAAGCAATTGAGCAAGCTCCATGCTTCTGCTTAAAATCATCAGAATTGGTTCTTGCCTCGCTGTCCCTTGTTCACCACCACCACTTGTGGGAAACTTTTCCTGTATACATTTGCTTCTTTTCACATTTCTGATTGTAGCCTGTCCAAACATTGATGCTGAAGTTGCTCTGATGATAGTACCCACTTCTTGAATCTTTTTGGCTTCTCATCTGTTTCCTCACATCTTCTCTTAGATTTCCCATCTGGCTTCCCATCTATTTCCTCACGTGTCTTCCTTATAAATCTTCTTTCAAGAACTTCAAGAAGTTTTGTCTGTATTTCATTCCATCATATTCCTCTCTCTGTCTGTTTCGACTTCCTTCTTTTTGCGTTACTGGTTGCTTTGTTACCCACTGTACTCAAGAGATAATTATATTTCCCTTTTCTCGACTGTTGCCTGTATTCTCCAGTTTTCCTAATCTCATTGAGTCTGGGGACGTTATACTAAATATTACATAGTGCCTTCAGTGCAGGTCTTCCACTTTCTTTTTCTTTTCATCCACTTTTCTTTTTTTGTCTTTTTTTTTTTTTTGAGTGACAAAAAATGTCCAAGTCAAACCCCATAACTGATCAGGGCAGGCTTGAGAAGCATCATTTTGTCCTCCTCCTGAAGCTTGGTTCAGCTTGGCACAGTGACACCTGACTGGCTCTAGAGGGAGTCAGCCTGGGCCGTCAGGGACTTTTTTGTGCCTCACCATCAGGTAGAAGCAGCCCTAGAGGAAGTCAGGAAGCCACGTTAGTGGTCCTAGGGCTAGGGGCAGAGAAGAGGGGGCTAGGACCAGGGGCAATGATGGGTTTCTGAATGGATTATCCTTTCTATTGTTTGTTGATGTATTTACTATCAAAAAACCCTCCCTGAAAACTAGTGAGTCCTGATTCAGCAAAACTTCCATTGATTTGAGAAGAAGTAGTTAAAATTGGATGATGAGTAAGTGGTAATTCAGATTGTGAAAGTCTGTGGGAACCGTAGTGTAGACTGAAAGCAAGCTCTGAACTTTACCTCTGAAGCATCACTCCCAAAAAGTTACTTCAAAGTTGATCACCGGATATTACAAATAGATATTGTGCAATGGGAATCAGTGGAGACTGATCAGTGGAGGCTTACTTCTTCAAACTAAGGTCTGATCCGTTGATTTTGGGATCTGATAGCACTCCATCCAAATGCAGCAGAGTGCTTAAGCAAGTACGTGAAGACAGCAGGTAGTTTAGAAAGTCAAAGGTAAAGTGGAATGACACAGTACAGAAAACGTGCAGTATTTTTTCTTCTAACTAGCTTTAAAAAACAATTTCCCCCAGTTTCTGAGTTTTTTGTAAACGCTGCCATGAAATTTTCGCGTTAAACCTTTTTTAGCCACATGCATGTCTTCCTCGAGTGCTGAAGAAAACCCCAAAAGATGTGAAATGCCGCTTCAGCAAAATTCCCTGTTTTAGTGCCCGTTACCCAACCG